AAAGGCAGTTGCTTGGAAAGTGACATTCTGCTTGGAAAGTGACATTCTGCTTGGAAAGGTAGAGGGTCAATAGAAGAGAGAAAGACCCTCAAACAGATGGGCTGAGACAGTGACTGTAGCAGTGGACTTGAGTATGTCAGCGATGATGAAGATGGCACAGGACCGTTGTTCATAGTGTCACTGTAAGTCATACTTGACTCAACAACACTTAACCACACAACAACACGGTTCTTGTAGGAGAGTGAGCACAGAAAGAGTTAGTGTCTTTCTTCTACTCTTTCAGCCCAGGTGAAAGGAAGCCTTTGTATTTTCTGAAATTGTAGTTTGTTATTTCAGTTTGGGGATCTTGTTCCATTGGAAGAGGACCAGAGAAAAGCTCTGCTGTTCATAGTCAAGAGCATCTTCCTCAGAATGATTTGTGATCCTCTGTTTCGTCACAGTGACTTCAACTGTGGTGGTCATACCTTCCTTCCACCCATTGTGTCACATGCAGGTGACAAGGAGCATCAGCTGTCTGCTGTCTCAAGGGCTAGGGAGCCCTGGTGGTGTGGTTCAGAGTGAGTTGCACTGTTAATCGATAGGTGATTCCTCTCTGGTGTTTTCAGTCTGCCTGCAGCTGCTCAGGAGAAAGATGGGAAAATTTCCTCTTGTGTGATTTACCACCTCTCAAGAATCTATTAGAGGATCGCCTATACGTTAGTTCTGACTTGAGGACAAGGAGTTGAGTTGTGCTAAGAGCTGTCACCCATGTACAACTTGAGTATAGTTGGGAGTTAGTGACCCTCATCTTGACCTTGGTAGTCTCATCATGAAGGGTTATGACTTGAGTTCTGTTGGGTCCTCTTATTCACTGATGACCAGCTCGTCAGCCTCCTTTTATCAGTATTTTCCAAAATGGAAATAAGCAGTCTCCTCCCATGGGATTTATAGCCTTAGGAAACCTGAAGGATCAGTTATGAGTCATTCCTGACTCATTGTTGGGGACTGTTGAAAAGAGGAAGAGGCCTCTGGCTGGGGCAGATCACCTCACTCCAGATAAGTGCAAGCCTTCTGACCCATATCAGCCCTTAATACAGAATAGAGAAAGCTCTCCTCTGTTTGGTTGTGCTGGCTGAGAAGGCTCGACATCCAGGAAGATGGCTGCTGCATTCATTGGCCTGGGAGTGGTCTGCACTGAGCTGAGGTTCTTCTGTCCAATCTGTATACTCCACATCTGCAAATCCACCTCATCCTGTCTTTCCTCTTACTCCCTGTATATAAGTGCACTGTAACCCCCAATAAAGTTGAGTTGACTCTCTAAAGTGCTCCCAGAGTGATGTGTCTCTGTCCTGCTTACCCCCATCAAAGTGTTGCTGCTCCCCACCAGCAAATGGACAGCAACAACTCATCTGTACACACAGCAATAGGGATGTGGTCCTGCTCAGACACACATGGGGTCTCAGTGAGCTGAATTTGATGGCAAATGGGTGTTCTATTTTTTTGGTTGTTGGGGTTTTTTTATTATTATTTTGCTAATATCCTATTTTAACAAGGTAGACAGGAAGCAGGGTGATAGGCTTTAAGCTATCTTTAATCACTTTGATTTTCATAGGATTTTTTTTTAAAAAAAGATTTACTTTCTATTTGTAGTAAGTGACATCGACTTTCTCTTCAAGGAAGAGATAGATAAGGTGTCCTTTCAAAGTAGATTTACTGTAAAAATGATGAATCAAGGAGAAATACTAAATTGATAATAACATACAGATTTAGCAAAATCCACAAAGCCACCATCATACCTTCTCAAAGTCATTTTGCTCTGTGGAAATCTCTGGAAATCCCTGTTGTGGACATACACTGTTTTTGATTTCCAGTAAAGATACAGATGTTCTCTTGGTTTTTTAAAAGCAATTCCAATGGATAGTTGAGAGAAGAGAATTAAATATTAAATATTAAATATGTGGTCATGGAGGCTCTTTGTTATCTCTGCTTTGGATCAGCACCTCTTCCCCTATTTTTAGAGTCTGCCTGAGAAGATTTGTGAATGGAGAAGTGTTTTGATGGCAATGATGCGTTTGAGTCAGGGCGTGTATTTGGGAATGAGGAGCTTGTGGATATTTTTTCTCATTGACTCAAATGCCTTTGTAATGCCAGTTTCCCCTCTTAACTCTCACCATCTTCTTCTCTGACTGAATGGAAACATCTTTTTGGTAAACAAACTAATGTCATGCAACACTGCTAATAAAAAAGCTAATACCTGTAATAGTGCTGGCCTTCTCTGATCTGCAAGAAAGTGCCAGGACATCAAATGAACTGCTTAAGACTTTAATCAAGAGGGTAAGGGGAGAGGAACTCATAGTTGAGTGTACTCTCAACCTGTACATCCTGATAGCTTTTATTTGAAAAGTTTTTGTTTGTTTTTTTTTTTAATTTTATTTCATGATTTTATTTTAAAATTTCTTACTGGTTTATTTACAAAGTTTGAATACATTGTTTTTCTCACCAGATCTTTCCTATTTTTCTCACCCCCCCCATCAGATTGTATGACCTTATGATTACCCCCATTTCAATGAACATCTACAGAGATTTTGGGATTCCATTCATTCATTGTTTTTTTGAAAAGTTTTACAAACAGAAAAGCATGTTGACTAGAGTCCCAAGATGTTGTTACATGCCTTCACGTTGCCTGAGACCCATAGCAGCCCTATGTACAGCAGCTCTAAACCCTCCCTGTCCTGAGCCAGTTTCACTAATTTTACACACCTACTCCCACTGCCCTAGTACTGTATCAATCCATCTCATCTGGGGGTCTTCCTTTCCTGTGCTGTCCCTCCACCCTTCCGAGCTTGATGTTCTTCTCCAAAGACCTGTCTCTCCTGGCCACATGCCCAAAGTATATGAGACAGAGCTTTAAAACCCTAGTCTCCAAGGAGAAACTTGGTTTCAACCTCTCCAAGACAGACCTATTTGTTTTCTTGGTGGTCCATGGTATGCTCAAGACTCTTCTCCAGCACCACAACTCCAAGGCATCAATTCTTCTTCTTCTGTTATTGTTTACTTTTCTTATTTTATTTGCTGATCCTTTCAATTTACAAGACAACATTTGTTTAAGCATAAACTTTATTTAATAATCAGTGAGTTCTGATATTATTTCATATTTATCAATGCAAAGATATTTTTCTCTAAAATACACTGGGTTTAATTTTTAAAATATAGTATTTTAAAAACAAACAAAACAATAATAATTGACAACTATCCATAAAACTAAAATTAAAAATAAACATACATAAAAATAAAAAAACTATTCAAAGAAATAGGAACAAAATCTAAGCATCCTCTACAATATTGCATTTTAAAAATAGATAAAACCTTATTTATTGACAACAATAATAAATATAATGAAAATCTAAAAATTAAAAATAATCTAGACATGTTTTTCCTTTTAGAGCAACTAGATCTAATTGCTACAAGACCACATTTATATCAGAATTTTTGAGATAGCAAGAGAATGTTTTCTCTGAGATACGTCACATACACATAAACCAGTAAGGTGAGATTCTCCCATTTACTCAATAACCCACATCTGTGTTCTGTTGAAAAAAATCAACATTTACATAGCAATGTTTTCTTATTCTTTCACAATGTGCACTTAATCAAGTTTTCTCTTTAACAGACTTTTCTCTGGTAGTGTTCTCTCGATCCAAGCAATCCTTGATTTAGTTAGCTTACCCCTTACCTAATAGTGGTGGCCTTTCATGAGCACTTTGTTAGATGTCAAACAATGATCGATCATCTTACACATGTCATCAGATCTTAGCCTTGCTGTGATATTAGGAAAAGGGCACATTCCTTTCAATTTGCAGATGTGAACACAACCAAGACTCAGAGATCCTCATGAGCTTATCTGAGGTTGAACAAGATGTTGGACAAAGGTAGATTTTGAACCTAGGCTTTATGCTTTGAACCCTAAGAGATCTTACCTATTAAAAGGTTGACTAGGGAGTACTTGGGACAAACATGTGTTGAGAAAAATAGCATCATCAGGTTAAGTCTGCTGTCATCCAGATGGAGCTGGGTGTGCCGGGATGGCCAGGTGGAGGAATATATAAAGCAGTAGGATGTGTACAGAGCGCAGGCAGGCTCAGGGGATGTGGGAGTGAGTTCACCTTGGGAGATTCTAATAGTCTTCTTTCATGACCTGAAAGCACATAATAGACTAGGTAAGAACAGATAGAAGTTAAATGATAGAACTACAACAAAGAATTGAGTATGTTTATATGAAAAGATCTAGTGATCTGATGTAAAAAACAGTGTATACAAACTTTGTAAGAAAACCAGTATAAAGAAAAATTTT